GCTGGGTGAATCTTTCTTACTCATAAGTTGTCCAAACCTCTCCAATTCTGTTCTCACTGTTGCTACTGCAATGGATTCTCAATCAGTTTGGGAGAGAGGGGCTGAAGAGTCTCCTGTAGTGGCTACATTTGCATTTTCCTTCTTGTTTCTTATCCAAGCAGGTATAAGATATGGATGAAGCTTCTAACAAGTGTCCCCAGTATGCTTAGGCTTCTTGCAATAATCACACACCAAGTCCTTCTTATCTTCCCTTCTAGTCTTACTATTCCCCCTATCTCCATTCGGCTTAGGTTTTGTTGTACCAACCATAGCTGACTGGTCAATCCCAAGCTGTCTCAGCATTACATTCCTCCTACTCTCCTCTCCAAAGACAAAAGCATAGGCCTGTGAGAGTGTCACACCCTCCCTAGAAAGAATATGTTGCTTAGCAAATGTCAAATTCAAGATTCAGCCCTGCCAAGAACTCAAAAACCCTATTCCTCTCTATCAATTTGTGATAAGTTGCTACATCATTTACACTTTCCCGTACCACAGTTTCTAAGTGATCTATTTCCTGCCATAGGGTTTTCAGCATTGAGAAATACACAACAAGAGGTTTTTCTCCCTATTTCATACTTATCACCTGATTTCTTAACTGATAGGCTCTGTCTTCATTTTGCTTCTAAGAGTAGGTTTCAGTCACTCCATCCCAAATCTCCTTAGCAGTATTAGCCCATAGGAAATTTTTTGCAATATGAGGTAACATAGAATTACACAGCCAAGACATTACCATGTAATTCTCTTGCACCCATCTGGAAGAGTTTGTATTAGGTTTCTTCTCCTCCCCAGTGAAATACCCTAATTTTCCACTGGCACCAATAGCCATCTTAGATGATTGTGCCCACTCCAAATAATTTGTACCATCAAGTTTTATTGTAGTAATGATCCTAGACAAAAAAATATCACTACTACCTCCAACACCCAGTCCCACAATACTGGTAGATTTAATCTCGGTATTCCAACTCTCCATTTTACTTCAAACAGTTTAACAATAAGAAAAAATAGATTAGAGACCTCCAAAAAATAATTTAATACCACACACACAAAAACCAACCATTCAGGAAGAAGAAAACCCTAGTTGGAGGGAAATCTCTCTCCTCCCCACGGTTGCCAACAGAGAGAAAAGTGAATTGATCACTCTGGAAGGCCTAGAAAATTTCAAAAACCAAACCGCCCTCTTCAGAAAACCAAAAGAAAACTAACAATACCTGGGCGCCCAAGATTAGATAAAAAACAAAGAGTCCAACTTTTCTAGGATTCTTTCCCGTACTCCAGTTCTTCCTGATTTTGATGCCAAATAGTATATCACCTTCCTGATGTCTAGATCCCACCAAAAACTCCAAGAACTAGGCAATCTATAGTAGATCGATCAGCCCTTTACTACTTCATGCAATCGGCTGATCTAGGGATGCATGAGAATGCTTCAAGAAACCCTAGCCGATGCTCTGATACCAGGGGGTCCATGGGAACATGGTGGTTGACTGCAAGATGATGGACTCGGTGTCCATGGGTCTTTGACGCTATTGTTGACTATGTGTCTTGGTATTGGGGTCGAAGGGGTTATTCTTCAACCGAGCTGATGAACCTAGGGGTGTACATGGGTCGAATTTGAATCGGATCAAGCAATATCTGAATTTCAATCCGATTAAAATATCTAAAATTTGAATTCGATTCAATATCCAACGGGTATTGAAAATTAACATTCGAATTCGAATCCAATTAAATATTCGAATATTCGATTCAAATTTGATTAACTAATTATTTTAAATAATTAATAAATATTTTATTTATATAAAGTGTATAAATATATAAATTATTTATATAATTTAATTATTATATATATAAATTATATAAAACATTTAAAAATTTTATATATTATATATAAGAATTAAATAATCGGTCGAATTCGGATATTTATCGAATCAAATCAGGTCATATCCGAATTTGAAATCGGATTTTTGAATACCGTTGACACCCTTAGATGGATAGCTACCTATCATCTCACCACACACCGTTCTAGCAGTCGGTGATGCAAAAGAGGAGTAGGCTCCCGCATTCAGTGGGTCCCATCTTGGAGGCTGAAATATCAGTCAAAATTAATCGAATCGGTACTACCGGATTTGGAAAATCTGTGACTGAAATTGAACCGAAGTCGATCGTTTAATTGGTTGATTGGTTTGGTTCATCAATTTTTTGATTTTTTAACTTTATAATATATATAAATATAATAAAATATTATAAATATATATAAAATATTATATTTTAAACAATAAATAACATATCATATATTATAAATATATATTTATATATAATGCATATTTTTTAATTTATAATGTATAAAATATATATAATATACATAAATATATATAAAATATATAGAAATATATGTATACCAGTTGGTTCAATTAACTACCAGTTTTCTATATTGGTTAACCGAAGCCGAATCGGTACTTTCGGTTTTTTAAAAACATTGAACCATTTGGTTCAATTAACCGATTTTTTGGTTTGGTTTTGGTCGATTCAATTCTTTGTTTTTTTTTCTCATCGTTAGTACCAAGGCTTGAGGGAGTTGAAGTGGTGGGATACGGTTAACGCAAACTGAGTAGACATAGAAGTGCTAACGTTAGTTGTTGACGAGTCGTATTGGAGGGAAGAAGCTCGCAGTGGAAAGGTTGAGAAGTTGTCGTAGTTCTATGACTCTTCGAAGTCTAATGTCGAGACCACCATTGTCTCGGACGATCACTCGACGAATGATCGAATGCCTTGTTATAGAAATAAACCGTTATGAGCCCTTAGTTGGTTGGTTCAACCTTAGTTTAGAACCAAATTAGAGTAGAGGTAAAAGAAAATCTAGGGAGGGTCGATAATAAAGGCCTTCTGGAGACATTCTAGATAATATTCTTATACAATCTTCAGTGTCACTAGCAACAAGTTCGTAAAAGCCGAAGCTGATTCGAAAGCTACATCCGATTGATGATCTGGTCATCAATTAAGTCAGAATTGTAACATTATTCGTAAGGGAGGTATTAGTCATTGTCAGAAACAATAGGGGTAGCGCTAGACAATAATTAAACAGTAAGGGTACACTTAATCAATTAGCTAAACCATAAAGGTAGTGTATGAAATTTACCCTATATACCAAGAACAAGCAATCCCACAACACATTGAGAACATATCCCCATGAATGATGGAATAGGATATATTGAAAGTAGGAAACTATAAACATCGATGTGCATTTTTTTTGTTGGGTAAATCCTGTACTTTGGGGTAATCTCACTTTAGTACCCAAACTTTAAATCATGTCACTACAGTACTTGAACTCTTGAAAATTGCTACTTTACTCCAAAAGTATTAACAAATGTTACAATGCATAATAAAATTACCAAACTATCCTTTATTGTCTTAAACAATCAAATACATTTACAAACTAACTAATTGATGTCTTCCATATGCCAACAAATGAGGAGCACAAAGTGCCCTTGTACTTGGTGGGTTGTTGACGGCTTGGTCTCTTCCATATGTTGCCTATATTGAGGAGACTCATCACGTTCGTACAAGATTGTCAAATGTCGGGTCAAGGAATTCTCGAAGGAATGACTTTGATATGGCATCAAAGCATCTTCAAGAGGAGGTGGACTAATGGTGAGTTTAGGACTCAGATCATTGCTGTTCCAATTTAGTCTTGAGGAAGAAGACCATGAATATTATCTTCTTTTGCTGGGTAATTTTGATATTTTCAAAGTTTTAAATTGCTTGTAACATCACATGCATCACATAACTAATTGAATGCTAATGGTGGGGCCTAAAGTGGCAGTTTTTGGGAGTTCAAGTACTAAAGTGTAGATCAATGCTTGGGTCCCACGCCATACAAGGAAGCTCAACTGGGCAGCAGTTAGGAAGGTTAAGTAAGCACATAACCTTATCCACTCAGAGAGTCCAGATCTGAATGTGATTCAGATCTAGAAACCTCCTAATGAGATTAGGAGAAAGTTAATCTAATCTGCATATAAGATAGGGGTTAATCCTTATCACCTAAAGAGATGTTTTGATCCAAATAAGATTTGGATCAGCAACTCCTAATTAGATTAAGAGTTGATCCTTTGGGGTTAAAAACAAATAAAGAGGGGGCGGCAACCTTTAGAGAGAGGACATATTCACGTTCTCTTGAGTGCTGAAAAACACAGAAGAAAGAATTAAGCAACCCTGCAGAATTCTTTCTTGCCGCCTCCTTGTTCTTGTCGCGCAGTTTGCCAGTTCGATCTCCAATTGTGGGAGAATCAAGATTCGATCTTGACATCAATTMTTTGAGAAAGAATAGATAGGAAGTTGTGCTCATGTGCCATCTTGCTGTTTTTTGCGAAGGACAAAATTCTGCTGATTCTGCTCCATCCTGCATTGCGCCATTTTCAGTGGGAGCAGTCTTTGGATCCTTCCTTGGGTGTGAACACATTCGTTGGGAGATATTACTTCTCCGTATCAGGTATAATCTTCTCCTACTACTTTTGGTTCAGATCTGGTTCAGTTTATGGTTCAAGATTGATCATTGAAAATATGATTTTCTAAATAAGGAATGTGATTCCTAGATGAAAGGGAGAGAAAAATTTTTGAAATTTGCCCCTTTATTCCGCAAGATTTGGGCGTCTATACGATGGATCTCTCATCCCTTCAATTCTTAGCACACTTTTTTCTCTCAATARATCTAGGTTCAATAGGGGTAATCATTTTTAACCCCGTTCAGAAATTTTAGGCTTAGGCTTAGGTTTTGTGTTCAGGTTTGGCCTTGGCCTAGGGCCAATACTTCGAGTTTGGATCTCATACCCACATCTTCCTACCCACATCCCTGCCCACGTCACCAATTTTGGACATGTGCCTCTTCTTTACATGTGCAGAAGTGCATGTGAAGTAAAGAGGATGTAACGGGACGAACATTAAGTCCATCCTGTCAAAACCTAGATTTCACCCATTAACCCAACTAATATTTTTACCTAAAAGAAATTATTTTCCCCTTCCCAACAACCCTAATAGTGTTTCATTCTCTCCATTCATTCTTTACAGGTATTGTTCCAAGAAAATTCACAGGCAACCAGCAACCAGTAACCGGCGACACGCTCACCGGCATCTTATTCTCTCTGTACTCCATCAGTTAACCTTCTTCTTCTATTCTCCACAACGTCCTGTTCCAAGAGATTCCACCTACATCCGACATCCAGCAATTGAGGACGTGCTCACCGACATCCTATTCTATGCATACTCCTCCTCCATCGCTTAGCCTTGTTTTTCTTATCTCCAACAGTAGTGTGTCCCCTTTCCAAGAACCCTAATAGTGTCTTGTTCTCTCCATTCATTCTCTATAGCATACTATTCTAATAAACTTCACAGGAAACCGACAACCAGCATCTTATTCTCTCTGTACTCCATTGGTTAACCTTCTTCTATTCCATAACATCCTGTTCCAAGTGATTCCACCGACATCCGACATCCGGCAACTGGCAACCAGCAATCAAGGACGTGCTCACTGATACACCGGTGGTTAAGTAACCTCAACTAATACAAGAAAAAATTGAGCATTATTTTCTTATAGTTCTTCCAACCAGGTTCTTCTCACCTGTAGTTATGCTCTATTTTATTTGATTCACTTATTTTTTGTTTTCTTCTGGCCAGGCATAGTAATCTCCTCAATTTATTCTTATATTATTTTCTCCTATGTTGATGGTTTTCTTGTATTATTGCACAATATTCCAAATACAGGACTTAAAGCTATGATATGGTCGAGATCCTACAATTGATCCGTTTAGTGGAGTTTGAGCAAAGAGTTTTATTACATGGATTGTCACTACGTTTTCCCAAGACTTGCTTCCTAATTACTTCATTAGGAGTTCAAGCTTCATAAGGAAACTCAACACCATTGTGAGTCTCTCTCTCTCTTCAATGTTTTATGTTGGGATGCTAGTTATTTCATTTTAGTTGTTAGTTTAGTTGATTATGGTTGAATGATTTATAACTAGTAGCAATGAACAATTAGAGAAATTTAATCGTTGAGGGGAATTGTAGTCAATTTTTCATTTCTTGGTTGTGTACTTGTATACAAAAGTAGTGCCTTGGAAATTTGGGTTTATGGTTAGTGGAGCTCAGCTATTGGGGAGAAATCTGAATTGCTCGTTCAGATGGATCCCAAGGAGTGCCAATGAGTTTGATGATGGCGTAGCCAAATCAGGGGTATCAAGACAATGTTTAGTGTGGGACCTGAGAATGCAATGAGTTTTCCTTAGATGACAATAAAAGAAAAATGACTTATGATATTTGTTTAGTTGCTTGAGGATACAATCCACATTGGAATTCATTTTCATTTTCCTTAGCTTGTTAAGGGCATCTTGATGATCCTATGGTCCTATTGGATTACTATTAAGTTAATTTAATTGATACACTTATCGGTAAAAGGAACTTAATTCTTTTTAAAACTTGAGGGAGAGTTGCATCTTCTTTAGTTTTACATCCATGAAGAGTTTACATCAAAAACCAACCTCATGCTAACAGGAAGTAATCAATTACTGAAGCTTATTTGGAGATGCATCTTGGATTGTCCTGGAATAATATCAAGGTCACAACTAGAGGAGCTAGTTTTGGTCCTAACAGGGGATGTTCAACTAGATTAATCACGTTTCGATTTAAAATGAATTTGGCACATGCACATTAAAAAATTCCAGTAGTGTAGAAATAATGAATTTGGCGCATGTACGTTCAAGAAGTTCTGCTTGTTAAAATATTAAATCTTTCGTTCTTTCTTTTATTTTGCCATATCAAACTTGATCAATATTTGCTTAAAAGTTACAATGTAGGTGAAGATACTTTAATCTATGATGACCTTATCTCACAGAGGGTTCATTGTCTCCTTTCCTTTCTTGTTATTAGCTGTCAATTGAAGAGGAATGTGCATCAATGCACGACAAGCTAACTTGATGGAAGCAAAAGCAATAGAAACCAAAGTTTATGGCATTGGAAGCAAAAGCGGATGGGATACAATGAGCACAAGGGCGCACTCGAAGAATGACGCTCTTGACTTTGTTCTTTTTTTGTGTAACCTTTATGTGTTTAAAGGTTGTGTTGTGTAATGATACTTAACTTGCTTTTGAAACCACTATATTTATAGGGGTTTTTTTTTGTTATTTTTTAAACTAGAAAATCAATTTTCAAATGGTCATGTGTTTCTCTCTTTTCAAAGTGAGTTTTTTCCATTTCAAATATTTTTTATAAAATAAGATTTGTCTTTCTTCTTAAGTAATGTCTTAACTAGGAAATCAACTCCAATTGGATTAGGACTTTTTAATACCATCCAAACAGACTTTGGAATCTAAATTTCAGGATTAACTTTGAACAATGTATGTAAAAGGGTCATTTCTGTATTGTATTGTCTTTAATCTCATAATGTCCAATGTTGATTTGGGACATATAAAAGAGCCAAATAGTGTAAATTGTTTGGTACATAATACAGAAAAGCAACTACCCACCCTAAATTGAAATCTTACTGGAATAGATTGGAGCACGTTAGGTCTGGTGAACCAAAAACTTCTATTTGAATTAGTTTCTCCTTCTAAGTAAAAGATTAAAAATTGGTGAGCATAGAGATGAATAATAATTGTAATAGAACCGATTGTTGACTCAATCAATGCAACTAAGGGCCAATGTGATAATGAATGCATTGAATAACAATTGATTTATCTTTCTAGTAAATATGTCATTAAGTTGATTGTTTATTGTAAATTCCTTAATTTCTAAATGGCATAGTGGGTTGATCACTAAATTATAAATAATACTTTATTACATGACTATGAATAAATTAGACATTTAATCTATACTAAATTTCCATCCATGAACTCTGAAATCCGTTCCATGATTGGCTATGAAGACAAAATCCAAAATCCAAGCATACCTGAAAACAAAAATGAAATTAGATAAGAAAATGTAAATAAGCTGATTAAAGGTCAACCTGTAGGATCATTAAAAATGAGAAAGAGAAAACCCCACCCTCCCTAATTGATACAATTCAACAAAGACATATAAGTTAAATTCATCAAGCTAGCTATATCAATACAATTGAGAGTATACCTGTTTGAAAATGTGAGAAAATTTGTGACTCAGTTTTCTTAGAACTGGTATAAGTCCATTGCATGATATGGTCCAATGTCTGATGAGGCCTGAAAAAATATAATTTTATCTTTTTTAATGATGCAAAACATAATTTGGATCATAATTCTTTCAATGCAGAGATTATCACCTATTCAAATGAGATCCGCCATAATGGGTTCTCTAAAAACTTTGCCTGGCACATCTCCCTATAAAAAGAAATCAACAAATGTGAAGGGAAATTATATTATAAAAAATTGTGTTAAGAAAATCCATATACACCACTTACTTGTACACAATGATCATGAACAAATGAATCCTGTATATTAATATCATGGACAAAAGAGTTAGAATGCCTATGCAGTAAATAAATTGGTGGCTATGATAAAAACATATAATAAAACTCTTAAAAATTTTGTTATCTTTAAAGTAAATTAAGTTAAAGTATGTATGATTTGAGTCAATTACTTGAAATGTTGAAGTCATAATATAAAAATTTTGCAAATCCTTTGTATAAGAGAGAATGGTATTATTTGGATCACTTGTACTTGTAATATTCTCCCTATTATCCACAAACCTTGATTCCTATATTATAAGAATTTTAAATAAAAAAATATTAATACTAGAAATATCAAATTTTAAAGAAGTAATTATCAATCTTTAATACCTGGGTATATGAGAGAGTTTGGTCAAAGTTTTGTACATCTGTCATATTCCCCTTAGACACATTCCACCCATCTTTAGCTTCTTGCATGACAAAAAATGTTAAATTAATATTTAATATTTATTTAAATAAATTTAGTAGATAAATTAAAAATAATACCTGTATAGAGCATTTTTCATTAGATTGGTCCTTCTTCCGTCTTGTTTTCTTTGCAAATGCTTTTTCCAAAGCATTCTTTGGCCTCTTTAAAGAACGCATGGTGGTCACATTGTGCTTAAATCCTTCTACCTATTTTGATATCCCACCTTCTACAAAACCAACATCATTACTACTAGCATTGTTATGTGCACCATTAAGATTTATGCAAGGAGAGCTAGTGTTATTATTTTCAGCTCCCTCTCAGTTGCAATAGATGATTGATTAAATGTTGTCTGCTGTAAACACGCAGACACATCACTAAAAAGTTTTTCTCCACACTCCATAACTATCTTGTAAGCCTCTTCACTACATGTAGTTCTATTTACGATTTGGCTAAGCATATGAAACATTTGTTTTCTACGTATAGCCATTCTTGTAATTTCATCAGAATAATGAGTTGAGATATGAGATGATGTGGTCACCCTCGCATTAATGGTCCATCTTCTCAATTTATAGCATGAGGGTATCATTTTTATGCGTCTATAATCAAGTATCTTCAATGCATGCCTACATAAGATCCCAACAAATTCAAACTTTAACTGAATCATTTGTTGCATCAAAAGTAACATTGTATTGACGAGATGTACCAAACACACTGATTATATACATAGTTATTGTTTCAGACACCACATGATCACCTTCAATGTTGCAATTCAGTTGTTCCAATACTTCATTATGAAACATAGAAAGAAATTTGAGGTGTATATATAAGGGCAACATTCTTCAATCTTCCCAATCGTGATGCAAAGGTAGGGATGCTCTGTGTTGTTACAAATTCAGCTTTTAGATTTTCATAACGCCTATCAGCAACCATTCTTTCAAAGTGCCTAAGGAATCTTCCCAAATCATGCTTAATATTGAGATACTTTTTTAGAAAACTGATCATACTCCCACTTCATTGTGTTGTGCTCATGCCAGTAGAAAAAGATTGGTGTCCAAACACTAAAGCCCATTTATGTCTTTTGTTGTATAGTTTTTGCAACCAATCATTGTCCTGAAATTCATACTTATTGATCATACTCTTCCATGAATTTTCAAATTCCTCCACATCCTCACATTCATACGCACAAGTACTAAAATCCTTGGAGAATGTCTTAGATTTTTGAAAAACACCACAAAGGTGTTTTGCAGCATTCTAAAACATATGCCAAACACATAATCGATGATGTGATTCTGGCAACACTAAATTAATAGCCTTTGCCATAGTTGCATCATCATCAGTTAGAATTGTTTTTGGTTTTTTTCTACCCATTGTTTTGACAAAAACTTGAAATAACCATTCAAATGTATTTGCAGATTCATCATATAATAATGCATCACAAAAAATAATTGTTTGCCTATAATTATTAACCCCTACAAATAGTGCAAATGGTTGATTTTCCTTATTTGTTCGATATGTTGTGTCAAAGCATACCACATCACCAAAATGACCATAGTCCAGTATCATTTGTGCATCTACCCAAAACAAATTAGTAACTAACTCAGCTTGATCCAATTGTACTGCATACACAAAAGAAGGGTCTTGTGATTGTTTGTTTTCAAAATGTTGTAGAATACCACCTACCTCCCCTCTTTCCATTTTCCAGTCCGATATGAGCGTAAATAATTTTTCAAATCTACAAAAGTAAACCCAATATTTTCATACCCACCAACTTCATTTGCCATCAATTTCATTGATGCTTTGGGAGCTATTCTTAATTCATCTGCCATTATAGCTTGATTACTCTGTACCTTAGAAATCTTTCTTTGAGAATTGTAACGAAATGGTTATGATTCTCATTAAAACCAATCACATAATATCTACCATCATCTCGTTGATTTATCTTCATAACTGTCATACAACCACATCTTGTCTTTGCTCGGGGTTTCTTAACAATAAGATTGCATTTATCTGCAACATGCTTCCCTTCTCTAGAACAACAAAACTTGTTGAATCTTACTTTACCAGTCCTTTGGCACAGTACTCTATTAGCTTTTCGAGCACTAAAGCCCACTTCCCCAACATATTTATTATAAAAATCATAAGCTTCCTCTACTATTTTAAAACTCATGCCAACCTTTAGAGTCAACTTTTCAGGAATGAATGATGATTTTTCTTTGAGTTTATATTGTATATTTGCATCAAAACCCTTATTTTCTTCAAATTTAGGCAAATCATCAACATTTTTTATTGACTCATCTATAGTAGGTAAAACATTTACCTCATTTAAATCATTGGTAACATCAATCTTTTCTGGTTCATTTCCATCTAGATCAAAAACCAACTTCCGCACAAAGTGTGGGCCACCCTCTATCCTTTTTTTATCCTGTTAAACATGAAAGAATTTTAATTGTTAAAATACTAGAATACCGAATTGTTAAACAAGTAACATTTTTAAGATTAAAATTGTACAATAGGAGTTTTGGGTATAATAGTGTTTTACAGCATTAACACTTTTGTTTTTATTTTGGAGTGAAGTTATATAATTTATGAAACGTGATAATAGATGATTAAATGAAAACATGTTTTCAAACTATAAATTTAATGTCACTTTTTGATTTCCAATTTCAAAACAAATTTAAATACACATATACAACTACGAATATGTTTTTCTGCAATTTTTTAAGAACCAATTTATTTTTAAGTCATACAGGTTTTGGTTTGATTAGAACTCATAAAAGAAACGGTTCACATTAAAGAATGCCCACACCATTTGAATAAAGGGGAAAATTAAAGTAAATATGTATTTTGTCCACCCAAAATTTCAAATATATTTACAGATGCATAAAACTAAAACTAGATACAATAATTAATGAATCAAATATTTTATTAAATTCAAAATTGAAACCCCCGTAACATTAGTTTTATTAAACAATCATCAAATATTTTGTTAAAGATTAAATAAATAGTCTTTAATGTTAAGCTCTTCTATGTCATAATGGAGAGTAGACAAATATTTTATTAAAGAATCATCTTCCTAAGCTCTTTTAGGTCATAGTCAAGAATAAATATATATTTCTAATTTTCTATTAGAGTTGAAGAATAATAAAAAAAAAAGCAGAAACTCACATACCATTTGAAGTTGATTAACCATCGGGAGTTTTCTTCTTGTACTTGAGAAGATGACACACTATTGTTGGAGATAAGAAAAACAAGGCTAAGCGATGGAGGAGGAGTATGCATAGAATAGGATGTCGGTGAGCATGTCCTCGATTGCTGGATCCCGGATACCGGTGAGATCTCTTAGAACAAGACGTTGTGGAGAATAGAAAAATAAGGTTAATTGGTGGAGTACGGAGAGAATAAGATGCCGGTGAGCACGTCACCGGTTGTTGGTTGCCAGTTACTGGTTCTCGGTTGCCAATTGGTGGTTGCTTGTGAAGTTTCTTGGAATAGTACCTTTATAGAATGAATGAAGAGAATGAAACACTATTTGGGTTGTTGGGAAGGGGAAAGTAATTTTTTTTAAGTAAAAATATTAATTGGGTTAATGGGTGAAATCTGGGTTTTGATAGGATGGACTTAATGTCCGTCCCATTACATTCTCTTTACTTCATATGCAATTCTGCACATGTAAAGAAGAGGCACATGTTATTAGACATGTGTCCGGAATTAGTGACGTGGGCAGGGATGTGGGTAGGAAGCTGTGGGCAGAAGATCCGGACTCCAATATCTCAGGCCCGGCCCATGATCACCCCGCCTCGGATTCACGGAGTGCGCAGCCTTTGCTGTACAAATCCATGGAGAAGGAAAGCTGCGAACTTCAAAGGCTGTACAAATCCAGAGCTACGCGCGCAAAGTTGTAATTTTATTTTCCCTTTCGCTTTCTCTGCACGCTGGTAACTGGCAAGGCGTAGGTACACATTTCCCTCCAATTCAGAGGAAAGAGAAACATGGAAGCGAACAATGGAGAAGGGAAGAGTTGCATATGCTGCTTGGTGGACGATGGGAGCGTAGAGAGCCACAGATACTACTTGGCTCGAAGGACTGTGTTGGAGATGCTGAGGGACAGAGGTTACGACATCCCAGACTCTGAAATCGATTGCTCCCTCCAGGAGTTCCGTTCCACCTACGGCCAAAAACCAGACCTCGAACGCATCCGGGTCTCCGCTTCGCTCCTCTCTGATCCTTCCCAGAAGGTATGATATAAGTTCTATTTCTGTTATTATTATTATCTCTGTGTAGCTTTAAGGTTGTATATATGGTTGTTTGAAAGTTACTATGGGTCTTCACCAAGGTTCAGCACTTAGCCCTTTGATGAATTGACTATATTCGGGAGAAGGTTCATGGTGCGTGTTATGTTGTTTTCGAATGATATTGTTTTAACTTTTAATCGATGAGACTAATGAAGGATTAAATGTAAAATTAAGTTTACAGACAAATGGCTTAGAAACAAGAGGTTTTAAAAGTAACCATTTCCGGTAAATCATGATACACTTAGGGTTAGAGACCAAGAGAAAACTCAATGTAACCATTTCCGGTACCTTGGTTCAATAATTTATAACAAGGGAGAGAGTGAGGAGGATGCCAACCAAAGAATTAGAGTAGGATGGGCAAAATGGAGGGGTGCATCTAGACTTTTATGTGATAGGCGAATACCACTTAGATTAAAAGGAAAATTATATAAAACAGTTGTAAGGCTAATTATGTTGTATGAGTAGAGTGTTGGGCAGTCAAGAAACATGTCCAGAAAATGAATGTGGCAGGAATGTGAATGCTAAGATGGATAATGGAAAAAATAGAAAGGATAGGATTAGAAATAAAGTTATCCATAGGAACTTAGGAGAAACTCCAATAGGTGATAAAATGAGAGAGCAAAGACTAAGATGGTGTGGACACATGCATAGAAGACCACCAATTGTGCCAATTAAAAGAAGTGATTTAATGTTCTAAAAGAGGTTGGGGTAGACCAAAGAGGATACGGGTAGTAAGAATTAAGAAATTATTTAAGTACTAATAACTTAACAATGGATATGATTTAAATAGAACGGATTGACAAAACAAAAGTCATGTAGGCGACCCCATATAGTTGGGATAAGGCATGGATGATGATGATGTATGGTTGTTTGAAAGTTACCGGGTTCAGGAGATTGGATGGCTTTGTTCTATAATTCTTAGAAGACATTTGATTTGGATTTGGATGGTTTAGAGAGTTGAATTTTCTCTTGAAAATAGGAAACCCAAGGGGGTATCTTGAGTGATTTTTAGGACTTTACATGATTGTATTGGACTTGGCTGGCATGGATTTAGTTGCAAGCAGAAATGACATTATTTGCTTTTTGTTGGTGTCTTGGTTTTCTTGGAGAGAATGCTATATGAAAAGTTAAAGAGTCATGTGAAGCAGCTATGTGTTGCCATGATGCATATATACAAATACTCAGATGAATATATACATGGATACAACTCTCCATCTCCCAAGATCCTTTTTGATCTTTCCTTTTTAATTGAAGGGAATTAGTTGGAGATTATGGATAGTATAGGGTTTTAGGAAGGGTGTTTAGGATGAGCAGGTTAGGTTCAATTGAGATTCTGGTTTGAATCTCAGAAATTTCACGTTTTCTCCAGAGAGAGAAAGTGAGAGACTTAAATAACTTGAGTTTTAGAGGGAATTTTGTGCTGAAGTATTGTAGGCTTAAGTATTGAGTTATGTGGAGTGAATCCTAATCAGATTGGTAGCCTCAACAGTTTGTGTACGAGTTCCAAGGAGAATGACAGGAGTTTTGGAGAGAAAGTGGAGAAGTCTAAGAAGCGTTAGAATTTTGAAATTTTATACATCTCTTGTCAAGATCCTATAATATTCCCACTTGAATTCATTCCTATTGGATCTTAGATGTATGTAATAGTTGTTAAGGCTTGAAGAAAATAATACATAATAGAGAGAGAAGCAATATAAAATCCCTAAGAATCATTTCAGTGAGACCTAGAATCACTTTAGGGTTTCAAAGGAGCTACTCCATAAAGCATGCAAGGTAAATCAGTAATCAAGTTTTGTTTTAGTGAAGAAAGTTCCTATTGCAAAAAATTAGGCTTCTTTACCTTGAATTATGTTTACCTTTAAGTACTCCTGTTTGGAGCTCGCATTATAAAATATATCTTGGGGTCATCCCTATTTTTTATTTAAGTGATACAAATCATCAATTCAATTGCAGATTCTGGTGGTCTTTTGTGGAACTGATAAGATAAACGTCAGGATTGCACGTGGGATCAGGAACCAGATTACTGGGAAAGAGGAACTTTCCTGGCCCACCCGGGTGATCTTGATCTTGCAAAGCGAAATATTGCCCCAAGCACGGAAGGAAGTTGAACAATTCCCTTGTAAAGTTGAATTTTTCCAAGTAAGTTACCTCATAACATTTTTTTTTTTTTGTATACCTCTTCCGTATTTAGGTTCTGCATTTTTTCCCCACCTAGGCCTTAGCTTAATGTCATTGTTTTTTACATTTTTGAAGTAAACCAAGTATTTATTGGTATATTGACTGTTGAAAAAACTGCCAACATCTGTGTGTTGGATTTGATTTTGAATAATGGCAGATTAGTACACCAATGGCTTCCTCTGGAAGTAAATAGACAACAGACTTGGGAGACTTATTAATTCATATTCAAATGTAAATAATGGATGCCTATATTATTGTTGTTGTTCTTGTTGATTTGTAAGTCTATAGGATAATGTATACTATAAGGTATATGCTTTGGATATTGTTGACAAGTTTGTGTCGTTACCATTATTATTGTTGTTGTTGATTGGTAAGTCTAGAGGATCATGTATGCTGATATGATGCATGCTTTTCTAGGTTAACTCTAGTAACATATGCTATTTTGGTGAAACCTTGACTGAAACTTCTTGGATGTGGGTTGTGTAGAGCTGAGATGGTGCCTTGTGAAGTGGTTAAACAAGCTAAGGTGTATGGTAGTGATTGGGTATGGATGATAACCCATACCCTCAAAGTGGTGTTAATCATCCTCAACCTAGGAAGAGAGCATGACAAAGGAAGAATGATGATCTCTCCTTAGTGAGAAAGACAAAAGCAAGGATTAAAGGCAATAATGGGCAGATGCTAAAGGTTGATTTTGGTGCTTGTTGTAACGTGTACTTATTTGTGTATAAGGGCAATTATGTCCCTTCATCTACTATTGTGTAATGATGCTGTCATCCTAATACAAATAAGAAAGGGGGTGCCGCCAGCCCAACTTTTGCCTCTCAATTTTCTATTCATTTCTCTCTCTTCTCTCTCTCTCTCTCTCTCTCTCTCCCCCTTCTTTGATTCTATATTGAACTAGATTGTACCAAAGCCCTTACACAAATAAGCACACATTACAACACTCCCCCTCAAGTTGGGCCATAAATATCAAACAGGCACAACTTGCAAGATAAATCATTGTGTTGCATAGTGTTTTGACTCTTTGTAAGTACATCCACGAATTGATCCTTAGTACTAACATAGGGAGTGCAAGCTTCACCCTTTTCAAGCATTTCTCAAATGAAATGTTCATCAACCTCAATAGTCAATATGCTTAGTCCGTCATGAGGAACTGGATTTGTAGCAATGTTGATAGTTGCTTTATTGTCACAATGAAGAGATATTGGACCATTAATTGCAAATCCAAGTTCCCCTAGCAGATTCTTAATCCACAACACTTCTACAACCCATGTGCCATAACCCAGTATTCTGTTTCATCACTAGACTTGGCAACAACTCCATGCTTCTTACTCAGGATGTTACTTTCCTGAGTTTGAAGGTGAAGAAGACCATCTAGAAGAAACTTGGGTCAGAGCGTTTGAACTGCCATTGATGCTATGGCATCCAAGCATGATGAAAGCCTTAGGGGACCTCTGTGGAGGCTTTCTCGGAACTGACGACACGCCGGAGGAACTTCGAACCTGCGAGTGGGTAACAATTAGAGTGAAGGAGGGGGGTACTATTCCGGAGAAGGTGGAGATAGCGGTAGGTGCAGTTATGTTTTCAGTCTGGCTTTGGAAGGATAACTGGCCTAGTGCTAGCTTGAGAAGGAGATTAGAAGAGGAGAAGTTCGGAAGCCAATAATTAAAGGAGTTTGGTGGCTCGGAAACGTCAAAATTGAATATTATTAATTATGATGAAAATAAATCGGTGATCGGAAAGTCGCCGGAAGGAAGGAAGAAAGAGATGAGGAAAACTATGCTGGATACGGGGTGTATGGAAGACCAATTGACTGGAAAAAGGGACCACAGGAACCAAGGTAGGCCTCAGATACAAAGTCAGGATGGCTAATCCAATGGTGGGATTGATTTAAGAAAGAATCTTCTAAAACAAAGTTCACACTTGGGAAATGAAGAGGAACAAGCTTTAATTGCTCTGAAAAGCCTGATAAAAGACTGCCTTTATGAGTTGGGTGTCTGGCCTGAACCAAAGCCAGATGACTTAAACATGCCAACCTCAAGGAAAATTGCGGGAGAAAAATAGCTTAAAGATGATGTCAGGGAAGGATTCCTCTGACACCCAGTATAAGGCCCCACAAACTAAACAAAGGTGGGTGGGGACCCACGATCCAAACCCGGATGAACAGAATGGGTGTCCATTAGTTGAAAGGGATATGCAGGGGTTGGATAATGATTTGTTCAGGATTGGGCCATTGGTGTGGGAGAGGCGCAATAGGATATCAGATACAATAGAATCCAGGAGCAAAACAATTAAAAGCTGGGAAACAAAAGCCCAGTCCTCGACGAATCAGAACCTTAGTCCTCGAAGGGCTATGAAAAGGGTGGTGAACCAAGGCGGTGAAGATTCAGTCCAGGGAGCAAGCGTAGACAGAATGGAGGAAGAGACTGCAGAGAAAGAAAAGAAGAGCGAAATGGGGGAAAATCCTCTTGTTGAACCTTGAGAGGTGAGTGGGGGAAACTGTCCAATGGATACTCACAGAGAAGGATGTTAGCCAAACCTCTTTCTATCAACATGGAAGTGGCTCGTGCTCACAACCTCTGGGAGTGAATAAAGAGCAGAGAAAGGCAGAATGTAACCTTCAGGAGGAAACTAGTACCTCAATGGAAGAAAAGAACAAATGGTTGGAAGAATCCTAAATTTGGGTAATGTTGAAATTACTGAGTCTGTGTAAGTTTTTGGGTGTTTCGATAGAAGGTCTGGAATTGGAAATGATAGATTACTTGGAAGGAATTGAGAGGAGGATTTTGGAGAAGGGGAAAGGAAATGTGAAGAAAGGAGGAGGGAAAGGAAAGAATGTCAAAGAATCCATGTGTCTTTCGTGGGGCTTAGTGGAGAGGGGTGATAGAGAGGGAAGGAGTGAAAAAGAAGGGAGGAAGAATTAAGAAAGTTTTTTGTTTTTTTTTTTTTTAAATTTTGATGGATCTGAAATTCCTTTCTTGGAATGTGAGAGGCTTGGGGTCAGGGAGAAGAAGAATGGTGATGAGTGATGTTTTAAAAAGGGAGAGGGCAGGGGTAGTTCTTATTCAAGAATCAAAACTAGAGAGGGTTAATGCAGGTATAATTTGAAGTATTTGGGGGGAAGGGGAGGTGAAATGGGTGGGGAAACCAGCAGTGGGGAGTGCTGGGGGTATCTTGATAATGTGGAATCTCTTAAAATTTAATAAGATCTCTCACACTGTGGGGGATTTCTCTGTAACTGTAATGTTTGAGTTACAAGGGGGTCAATGCTATCAAGTTACAAATGTGTACGGACCAAATGCAGATAGGGAGAAACAAATCTTCTGGGAGGAGCTGGCAGAATTGAGAAATAACATCACAGTCCCTTGGGTGATTGGCGGCGACTTCAATGTCATCAGATTTCTTGAAGAAAAGAAAGGAAACACTCGAAGTACTAGAGCCATGAGGGATTTCTCAGATTTCGTGAACAACTTTGAACTGGTGGATCTGCCTCTTTCAGGTGCACAATTTACTTGGTCAAATAACCAGGAAGATCCTATTTTGGTTAAGTTAGATAGATTTTTAATCTCATCCACATGGGAGGATTCTTTCCCGGGAACTAAGCAAGAGGCTCTTCCACGGCCTCTATCTGATCACTGTCTGATTAAACTGGTGTTTAGCAGACAGGTAAACAAACATGCTCCATTCAGGCTTGATAACAGTTGGCTTGGAGAAGAGGATTTGCTAAACTTAATTGAAGCAAGCTGGAAGGAAACTCAGGTGGATGGTACAAGCTCCTTCGTTCTCGCTAAGAAACTGGGAAAACTGAAATCTGTCATAAAGAGTTGGAAGGTAGGAAAAGCTCAATCTGCAGAACTCAAAAAGAAGAGATGCTTGAATGTGATTAAGGAAATGGATAATCTTGAAGAACAGAGGCGTCTTTCGGAAGAGGAGAGGAGAAAGAGAGAGGGTACGAAGATTATCTTTGATAGACTTGCCTACAAAGATGAAATACGCCAGCGTCAAAAGTCCAAGATACAATGGCTGAAGGTGGGAGACAAAAACTCCATGTTCTTTCACAGAATGGCAAATGTCAGACACAGAGTTAACAACATAAGTAGGTTGGAACATGAAGGGCAGATAGGGGGTCAAATGATTAATATTCAGTCAATTGCCACCAATTTTTACAAAATTCTCTTCAAGGATCCTTGGTTGCGCCGGCCTCTGCCAGATGGGGTTCAGTACAGGACCCTTAACAATAGTCAAAAAAGGGAGGTGGAGAGGCCTTTCTCTGAAGAGGAGATATTGGAAGCTGTCAAGAGGATGGATGCAGATAAATCCCCGGGGCCAGACGGGCTAACAAATTTGTTCTATAAGAAATGTTGTAATATCATTCAGGATGATATCTTGAAGGCTTTCCAAGATTTTCATGATTCTGCATCTCTGGTAAGGAGTCTGAATACTACGTTCATTACTTTGATCCCTAAGATAGAAGGAGCAACCAACCTCAAAGATTTCAGACCGATAAGCCTGCAGCATAGTTTTTATAAACTTCTTGCAAAGGTGCTTGCAGAGAGATTTAAAAAGGTGTTGGGATCTGTAATTTCAGAAAATCAATGTGCGTTTGTTGGCGGAAGACAAATTCTGGACAGTGTTTTGGTGGCGAATGAAGTAATAGACTCTAGAAGGAGGGAAGGAGAACCAGGTTTGTTATGTAAGATTGACCTTGAGAAAGCCTATGACCATGTGAACTGGCGATGTTTGAACTTCATTCTGGAAAAATGAATTATGGTCAGAAGTGGAGAAACTGGATGAAGGTATGTGTTTCTTCCCCCAAATTTTCTGTTCTAATTAATGGAAAGTCCTCTGGTTTCTTCAAAAATTCAAGGGGCATCCGCCAAGGTGACCCCCTGTCACCTCTGCTTTTTCTATGTATTATGGAGGTGCTGACCCAATTCATCAACCATGCGAGTCAGGCA